TGGTTGCACTGTGCGAAGGTATCACGGGAATATGTGAGAGCAAATACTCGGGTCTGCACACAGATGTGGAAACACCAAAGGTATCTGAAGGCCAAAGTCCTCCTAGTTAGCAAGTTAAAGCCCTCTTCTGAGTGCCAGGGCTGCCAGTCCTGCCTGGTCAGGCTGTGGACCAGCCCATGTCCCGTTAGTGAACATGTCACAGACTTAAGCTCATTCCCTGGCTGTCCTAAGCCCCTGAGCTCTCCTCCCTACCCCCATCCTGGCCCGGCCCCAGAGCAATGCCAAACGCTTCCTATCCAATCCCCAATCGCCCCCCCCCCCCCACACGCACACACATACTGCACAGGCATAAAGATGGGTTTTAGGAGGCGCCAGAATTACTACAAAGTCCCAAGTCCCAGAATCTGTGTTTTTGGTGTTAAATTTAACCCACACCCCAAATAGGACACCCTGGCATGTGCCTGCATGCACAGTGCTCTGCCCTGAGAAGCCCACCAAGGTAAGGCTGTAGCTACCTACTCCTTCCCCCAGAGGTAGCAGAAAGGGCCGAGGTGCTGGTCCAGTGAGCACGGTGAAGCTGGCAGAAGACAGGCCTGCACACCCTGGTACAGCCTTCTGCGCCCTGAGGCTGGCACCAATCTAGTGATTACGGGCAAGTCCCGCTGAGTGCAGTGGCCCGCGGGCCTGGGCACTCACACTCCTGTTTGCCGGGCCCCGGGGCTGTTCTCCTCCACCTGTCTGGCTCCTTTCAGCTTTGGGCACCGGGCAAGGGCAGGACAACCTGGGGCCCTTTCCTGCCTCACTGCCCCCAGAAATCCAGTCAGGTCACAACCACCGGCATGTTCTGATAAACAAGTCGTCCCTGGGTGTTTCCAGCTTCCAAAGCAGCACAGCAGCCAGTGCAGCTGACCTAAGGTCGCTATCTGGAAGCGCAGAAGAGCGGAGTGGCCAAGGGCGCGGGCAGCTGTGGTTTCTTGGACCCACAGCCCTGGGTTAGGGAAGAGGAAATAGGAGAAGCCCGTGTCTAAGCAGGCTGCTGACAGCACATGGGCTTCGAGGGGGCCGGGATGGGGCCCCCCAAACAGGAGATGGGGCCCCCACAAAGGAGATGGGCCCTCCAAGCGGGAGATGGGACCGCAAGCAGTAGATGGGACCTGCCCCAAGAAGGAGATGGGGCTGTCCAAGTGGGAGATGGGCCCCCAAGCAGGAGATGGGCCCCCAAGCAGGAGATGGGCCCCCAAGCAGGAGAGGGGACCCCAAGCAGGAGAGGGGACCCCAAGCAGCAGAGGGGACCCCAAGCAGGAGTTGGGGCCCCAAGCAGCAGAGGGGACCCTAAGCAGGAGATGGGACCCCAAGCAGGAGAGGGGACCCCAAGCAGCAGAGGGGACCCCAAGCAGCAGAGGGGACCCCAAGCAGGAGTTGGGGCCCCAAGCAGCAGAGGGGACCCTAAGCAGGAGATGGGACCCCAAGCAGCAGAGGGGACCCCAAGCAGGAGAGGGGACCCCAAGCAGGAGAGGGGACCCCAAGCAGGAGAGGGGACCCTAAGCAGGAGATGGACCCCCAAGTGGATGGGACCCCAAGCAGGAGATGGGCCCTCAAGCAGGAAACGGACCCCCCAAGTGGATGGGACCCCAAGCAGGAGATGGACCTCCAAGCTAAAGGGGGGTTGGGCTCCCATCCGGTCGGCGCCACTTCCTAACAGGGGCCTAGACAAGCTCGGGCCCCTTCCGGTGCCTCGGTGTCCCGGGAGTCCACGGGAGGGGCGTCGGGGTCTGGCGGAGCCGGGGAGGCGCGGCCAGGGCGCGGGCGCGGAGGGTCCCCAGAACCTGCCGGCCGCCCCGAGCCCCGGCGGCGCGCCCAGCTGTCAACCGTCGGGGCAGAGTGGTCTCCGAACCGCGGAAGACCCCGGGACCTTGCAACGGGACCCGCACCGCGGCCCACCGCACCGGACCCGCCTCACCGCGGCCCACGGCACCGGACCCGCCACACTGGGACCCGCACCGCGGCCCACCGCACCGGGACCCGCCACACCGGACCCGCCACACCGAGACCCGCACCGCGGCCCACCGCACCGGGACCCGCACCGCGGCCCACCGCACCGGACCCGCCTCACCGCGGCCCACCGCACCGGACCCGCCTCACCGCGGCCCACCGCACCGCGGCCCACCGCACCGGGACCCGCCACACCGGACCCGCCACACCGGGACTCGCACCGCGGCCCACCGCACCGGGACTCGCACCGCGGCCCACCGCACCGGACCCGCCACACTGGGACCCGCCCCGGACCCGCCTCACAGCGGCCCACCGCACCGGGGCCCGCCCCGGACCCGCCTCGCCGCGGCCCACCGCCCCGGACCCGCCCCGGACCCCCGACCCGGGGCCCCCCGCCCGGACCCCCGCCCCGGACCGCACCAGGGCCGCCGCCGCGCCGACTACGAGCCCCGGCGAGCCCCGGTCCGGCCCCCGGGAGCCGCAGCCCCGCCGCCGCCGGGCCGGGCCGCCGGGCCGCGGACTACAAGTCCCGGCGAGGCCGTGCGCGGCCCGCGCCCCGCCCGTCGTCCTTCCCGCCGCGCCCGCCTCGCCGCCGCGCCGGCCCGCGGCCCCCGGCCACCTATGTCGATGGCGAAGCGCTTGGCGTTCTCCAGGTTGCGGAAGATCTCGTCCGGCGGCAGCGTGATGCTCTTGTCCAGGCTGTCCCCGCTGCTCCCGCCGCCGCTCGCCCCGCACTCCGCCATCTTGGAAGTGCCCGGCGCCTCGTCGGCCATGGAGATCTATGCGCATAGATTTGACTGCTAACCGCCGCGCGCATACATTATGCTAATGAGCCCGGCCCCGCCCCGGCCCCGCCCCGGCCCCGCCCCGGGAGGGCGGGGCGGCCCGGGCGCCGGTCCCAGGGGTCCTCCGGAGGCCCGGCCTGCACCCGGGGATGGTCCGGTGCTTACCCCAGCCGGCCAGATGTTAACTGGGAGTGTTCTGGGCCCGCGCAGCCGCGCGCTGGTCGGATGGGAACTTGGCCCTGCGTGCGGCTGCAATGTCCCCTGACCTTCGCGAGGGTGACCCGCCCTCTGCACCCCCCACATGTGACCTTCGGTGCTGACAGTCCTGTGCACTCCGTGGAAGCCGAGGTCCCCCTCCCCGGCCTCCTGTGTCCGGGACCAGCAGCCGAGGAAGCTGCGCACGCTGACGGGTGTAAGGAGAAGGAAGCAGAGGCCGCCTAATGCAAGGCAGGGTTTCTGCACGACCCCGGGGGGGGGGGGGGGCAAGGCTTGGGGTGAGGAGAGGAAGGCCTGTCCTCCCTGAAGGCCTGTCCTCGTGAGGAGGCCCTGGATGCTTGGGAAGGAACTGAGGGGGTGGGGTCAGCACTTGCCTCTGGTGGTCCTGGACAGGTCACTTAAGAGTCTCCTGTCCTCAGCCTCTGTCTGCAAGTTGAGAGTATCACTGTCAGCTGAGCGGGCTCCTGGGAGCGCAGTACTCAGGGACCTGGCACGGCTTCCGTGGGGAGACAGCCAAACAGGTGCTTCCTTCCCAAGGGTGTGTGCTTGCAGGGGAGGGAACCTGCCCCGGGGCACGCAGGTCTGCTCCCTGGAGCAGAAGGCACCTGGCACTGAGCTGTGCCCTGCCTTCTCTCCATACCCAGAGCAAGTCCCACTCACTCAAATGCTGCTGCTGTGCAATAAACATGTGGGCTGGATCTGCTCACCAGAGACCCCAAGAGGCCACTGGTAGGCCCTGGGCTGGAGGAGTACTCTGAAGAGAGGGGAGGGGGGGAAATGTTGGGCGAGGAAGAGGCCAGGGCAGGGCCTGGCCCACCTCTGTGACTTGTCCTTCAGAAAATGTACAGCCATACCTAGCTTCTTCCTACCCTGTGCCCCGTGGATTTCACCTTGGGGAGAGACTGTGTGCCTGGGAGCTGTGGGTCTTGGTTCTTACAGACATGGCCCACAGGTTTTAGCTTGCCTAAAAATAGGTGTCCTTTCTGAAGCCAAGGATAGCCCCTGGCAAGGTTCATGGCTGGCATTCTGTGGATTAGCACTGACCAAAGCTGGCCAGCCTGGCTTAGTCCAGCAGGTGCCCCCGGGCACCTTGAGGTCACTGCAGTGGGGCAGGAGGAGGGCAGGGAGAGAAGTCTTTTCAAACTCTCCTTCTGTGTGGCCCAGCTACGTCCTTTTTCGTGGAAAGAGGAGATGCACTGTGCCCTTGGCTCCCTCTCGGTGAAGGTCCTACAGCTGTCACCTTGCCAGCCCCTCCGGGTCCCAGTAGGAACCAGTCATCTCCAGTGTGTAGAAAGCAAGAGGCCTCTCTCCATCCTGCCTTTCCCGCCTCCCTGCTTCCTCCTCAGCCCTTCAAGCAGGGGCACCCCTCCTGGGCCCATGGGCCCCTGCAGGCCCACCCCCTGGCTGTCAAGGACCGACAGACAGACGCGAGGCACACACAGCGGAGGTCTTGACAGCTTTTATTAGAAGCCCTTGTGCAGAACCGTCGGTGGGCTCCCCACGCGACAAAGCGTTCGCCTGCCAAGTCCAGAGTCGTGCCCACACGCGCCCACCCACACGGCAGCGCGGCAGCACCCTGTAAGGATCATAGTGGAGACCTGCCCTTCCCAGACAGCCCAGCCCTGGCGGCCACGCGCTGAGTCCGTTCCTATGAGGACACACCAAGAGTCAGCCTTCACAAAAGGCAAGGCGCCCGCGGCCCTTCCCGCCTGCCCGGCGCAGGCCTGGCAGCCGCGGGCTCGGAGCAAGTCCTCCGCCGGCCGGGGCGCCGCGGGCGCGCCCGACCCTACGAACGTCATAGAACCCGGCGGCCCGGGACTTCGCAGAAGTCAACTGCTCAACCCCGCGGGGTCAGACACTCGGCCGCGGCCGGGCCCAGGGCGCCGGGCCCCGCGCCGCCGCCGCGCGCATTCTCTAAGAATGAGCTCCCCCGCCCGCCGGCCGGCCGGCCCGCGGGGCAGCCCCCCGGGGCGGGGCCGGACGCGCGGGGGCCCCCCCGGGCCGGCAGGTCACCAGGGCCGCCAGAGGCCGCGGGCGGGCGGGCGCGGTGCGGCCGCGGCGGCCTTGGCGGAGGCGCGCGCGGGCGGCGGCGCGGTGCCCGGGGCCGGGGGCTCGCTGGCGGGCGCGGCGGGCGCGGCGGGCCGCTGAAAGTGGTAGAGCAGCTTCATCTGCGTGTCGCTGGCGGCGTGCAGCGTCAGGAACTGCACGGCCTCCTGCAGGCACCACGAGTAGCCCTCGCTGAAGTCCTGCTGCAGGCTCTTGGGGCCAGCGGCCGCGGCGAAGGCTGCAGGGAGACGGGGCTGCGTGAGCGGGCGGGGCGGCGGGGCGGCGTGCAGCCCAGGCGCGGGGTTGGGGGGCGCGGGGCGGCGTGCAGCCCGGGCGCGGCGTTGGGGGGCGCGGGGCGGCGTGCAGCCCGGGCGCGGCGTTGGGGGGCGCGGGGCGGCGTGCAGCCCGGGCGCGGGGCGCGGGGTAGGGGGCGCGGGCGGCGTGGAACAGGGCGGCGCGAAGCCCGGCAGCGCGAGCGGGGCGCGGGGCGCGCGGCTCACCTTTGCTGTGCTTCAGGTAGCTGACGGCCATCTCCAGGATGTCCGCCTTCTCCAGCTTGGAGTTGGGCTGGTGCCGCGCGAACTCCTGCTCCAGAAGCAGCTTCAGCTGCTCGATGCTGCTGTTGATGCGATCCCGGCGCATCTTCTCCACCACCGGCTTCCGCAGCTGCGGGAGGGGGGGCGTCAGGCGGGCGGCGCGGGGGCCGGGGCCCGGGGGCCGCGCGCCGGGCGGGCGGGGACTTACTCGGTTCTTCTCCTTGGGGCTGAGCATCTCCACCGCCACGGTGCTGGGGGCCATGCCTGGCGCGGGCGGGAGGGCGGGCGCGGGGCGGAGCGGGCGGGCCGGCGTCCCGGGCTGGCGCGGCCGCGGCCCCGCGCGCCCGGCCCTTTATAGGCGCGGGCGGAGGCGCCGGCGCCTGGGGCCCGGGCGCCGCGGCCGTTCCCACACTCGGCGGCCAATGGCGGCGCGGGCCGCACAAAGGCGCCGGCCCATTAGCGCACGCTAAATTGCCTGTGAATTGGCGCGGGCACAATGGGCGCTCCCCGAGGAGCAGGTGGGCCGCGCGGCACAATGTCCGGGCTGTGGGAACGCGCTCGCCCTCATTAGCATCCCGGGGCCTGACGCGGGGAGCCCCGGGCCTCAATATGCTGCCTTTTCCCAGGCCCGGGGAGGGGTGGGCCGGAAGGAGCGGCCCCTTCCTCTCCCCCCCCCCCCCCCCCCGTCCCCCGGGCCGCGCGGGGACTCCCCACTGCTGGCCGGCAGAGGCCAGGGCGCACAGAGGGGCTAGGATTAAGTGCAGTGGATTCCAGGGGTGGCGTGTGGTGGGGTGGCGTGGGGGGATCCCCCTCTTGCCGGTGGGGAATTTGCTGCCCCTGGGAAAGGGCGCCGGGGGACCCCCCCTTCTCCTGGAAGAGGCAGTGGTACCCTGGCCCACAGCTGGAGGCTAAGATCTCTCTCAGGATCAGCCCTGTCGGTCTCCGGTGCCAGTTCCCTAGGCTGACCTGCGGCCGAGTGACCTCTCCGGAGCTGGGAAGGGAGCACCATGCCGGCTTGGGGCATGCCCAGAAAGCCAGGGCCTGTGGGGTATGCAGCCCCACACTAGGCAGCCCCCCGCAGCCCCTGCACCTCCTCCCCGGAGGGGGTTTATGAAGCAGGGAATTTAGGCTGCCCCTCTGGAACCAGCAGGCAAAGTCCTTGCCTCCTCTCCCCATCTCTAGCCTAGAAACTCCCCCCCCCCCCCCCCCCCCCCGTGGGTCTTCCAGAAGGCCCTGCGCAGCCTGCGGGCGCCCGTGGGGTTTACCTTCCTTCCAGAGGCACTGGGCCAGTGGGTGGAGGTGGCAGAGGTGAGGGCTGGAGCCTACCTGGGTAATGTCTTGGCGGTGAACCGCCTTGATGGTTCCCCCAGCGTGGCACCCAGCCGGCTGAACTGGGGGCTGGTGGCTGCTTTGGGGACCAATACCACGGTAGGCCTCCAGAAGAAGGATGCCTGGAGCATCTGCCTGGAACAGTCTCATTCTGATTCTCCATGGCCAGGGAGAGAGCCCAGCAGTCCCCCAGGCGCCGGAGGGGCGGAGTGGGACCTAGACTGGACCAGCCAAGTCCAAGCAGAAGGTGGGGACGTCAGTCCTGGGAGCCAGAGGCTGACACTGGGATGCTTCAGCCTGGGTTTAGATCTGGAGCCCGGTTCCCTGCATGTCCAATGACAGCTGCATCTAGAGATAGCCCGGACCAGGGGCTGACGAGGAAATACTGAAATATGTTCCTACTTCTTGGCAGTGACCCACCGCCATGAGGGCCTGTTGAGTGAGTCTGGCTTCAGGAAGCCATTGGTTACCTGTGGATGGATGAGTCCAGGACAAGGGAAGGCTTGCTTTGGCCTACGTCAGGATGGCCCTCTACGGTCAGCTAGTTATAGGGTGGATAGCCCTGCTCTCCTGCCTCCAGGACCCCCTTAGCACACCTCTCACCATAAGCTAGAGGCTCCTCTCTGAGCATGTGGGGCCTGCCGGGGGACTCCAGCCCTTGTTTGATGGAAAGGGCAGAAGACACCTCTAAGCCCAGAGGGCAGTGTCTAGGCAACGCCTATCCGTCCACCTCAGTCCTGAGCACTGGCACCAGCTGGCACCGTGGGGGAGGATGGGCAGGGCCTACAGTCTGCACAGGGAGACCCGGCAGTGGTCAATAGAGCCACTCTGCAGCCAAAGCGGGATTCATGCTAGGTGGTGGCCAACCCGTAGGTGAGCTCCCCGGGGGAGAGCTTGCGAGGGGCTGTGGCACCATCGCCCTGCCAGCCCAGGCCAGGGGCAAGCTAAGGACAAAGGCACAGAAGCGAACCGGGCTGGGCTGGCTCTGGCCACGGCCAGCTGGGTCTAAGGGCACACGTGCCCTGGCAGTTCTCTGGCTGCTGACGGCAGGGACCGTGGCTGTGCCCGGATGTGTGTATGTGGGACAAACGAGCCGCGGCATGGTGTTCCGGCCAGACCCGTTCCCCCAGGCCTGGCTGGGGCTTGCATCCTGCCCTTCTGGTCTCTTCCCAGAGCTCACTTCTGGGCCCGAAGGAGACACGTGCCAGAAGATGCAGTCCAGCCTCCACCCCACCCCGACTGCCTGCACCCTGTGGTGGGCCAGGGCGGCAGCCTACCCAAGGGGAGGGTGGTGGGTGGGCCGTGGGGGAGGGGCCGCCCCTCCCCCTCCTCCTCCGTACCCCCTCCCGGAGCAGAGCAGCTTTGATCCAATTTTCAGTGGTGGGAAATATGAAATGAATGGTGTTAAATCCCAGCTGGATGAAAGGCTGGCTCTCTCCCCAAGTGCGGGCCAGATGGCAGCCCAGGCGGCCTCAAGGCACACGCCCGGCCTTTGTGGGCCATTTAACACTGTGAATGGGGCCAAAGTGTGGGAAACTCGCTGGGCTCCGGGCTCACACCAGCCCCTGTGGGGGGCGGGGGCGGGGAGGCTGAGTGGGGAGGATGGCTGCCCCAGGCTGGAAGTGGGGGCACTTGGGTCCTCAACCTCAGTTGCTCATAGCAGCAGGAGGTGGGGGGGGGGCTCTGAGGAGGGGGAGAGTTTGCCCTGTCCCTGCACCTCCTGGGGCCATCACCTGGGGGTCCAGAACTCTGGGGGGCCCTGTCACTGTCCCCCCATCTGGGTGTTATACTTTGCTGGCGGTGTGTGTGGGCTCCCCGCAGAGTGTGCTTGTCTGGCATGGGTCTGCCTGAATTTGCGGAGTTAGGACTCAACCCATATCTGCAGACCCCCCTGCCCCTCCCAGGCTGATGGCAGAGCCCAGACAGGGGAGGGGTTTGGGGGAGGTAGGAGAGGCTGAGGTGTTGCTCCCCTCAGATGAGCTAGGGCTTGAACTCAGCACGCTGGCCTGCAGCTTTTTCCTGAAGGCTGGCGTTCTACCACTTGACCACACCTCCACTTCTGGCTTTTTGCTAATTAATCGGAGATGAGAGTCTCATGGAGTTTTCTGCCTGGGCTGGCTTTGAACCTTGCTCCTGAGTAGCTAGGATTGCAGTAGGCCCCTGGCTTGACAAAGGAAGATTTATGCAAGTTTGTGGAGCAGTGCTGTGAGTTCTCGGAAAAAAAAAAAATCAACCAGAATCCTCATGGAATTCAGTAATTCCATTTCTGGGTCTATGCCTCGAACTGAAAGCAGCAGGGACCCAAATAGATAGTTGTACACCGTGTTCATAGGACCCAAGAGGTAGAAGCAACCCATGTGTCCACTAACCAATGAGTGGACAAAGAAAACATCATACATTCATACAATGAACTATTACTCACCCTTAAAAAAGGAGAGCCTGGCACATTACACCGTGGAAGGGCCTTGAGGATGCTGTGTAAGGGAAATTGACTGGCCACCAAAGGACACATGCTGCGGTTCCACGAGCAGTTCAGTTCACAGGCAGAAAGCAGAAGAGTGGCTGCCTGGGGCCGGGGAATGGGGGGCCGAGTTTCAGACTGGGGAGATGCAGATGGATGGTAGTGAGTGTACTTGAACTACTGCACTACATGACACTGAAGATGGTCAGATGGTTGTGTTTTATGTATCTGCCACAATTGAATTAGAAAGGAGCTTTTTGTCTTTTTTTTTCTGTAGGTGGTAAGGCTTGAACTCTGGGCCTGGGTGCTGTCCCTCAGCTCTTCAGCTCAAGGTGAGCGCTCTACCACTGGAGCCACAGCGCCACTTGCCAAAAGGAGTTTTTTTGGGGAGAAGAGGTGCCTCTGTCCTTATGGGGAAACAGCAGCTTCTAATGGCCTTTGCCAGATGCCTGCACACCTGGACCTGGACCCGGAGCCTTGGGGCAGCTGGACCAGGAGGTCTCAGCAGGCACAGGCTTCCCTGCCGGGCCGGGCCTGATTCACAAGGGCTTTGATGGGGCGGTGGTAGGCTGTTTGGGGAGGTCCGGAGCCGGGCTGCAGATTGCTTTCTGCTTTCCCCTCCTTTGACCCCAGGTGGGGTGAGGGTCTGGTGGGTGTCCAGTGGTGGGGTTTTCAGAAAGCCACACTGCCCAAGAGCAAGGGTGGGGAGGTAACATTTCAACCCCCCCCCCCCACCCCCGTAGCGTCAGGGCGGCTGGGACCTCTGGAGTTGTTCTATGCTGTGGTCTCCCTTCTGGGTCCATCCAGTCCTCGGCCAGCGGCAGGCCTACAGGCCGCCTGGGGTGCCCAGTGCTCCCCAGGTGGACAAGGAGCATTTCAGCTGCTGACACCCCAGCCCCCTGTGGCTGCTCAGCCTGCTGGGAGCTGCGGGTGCATGGGCACGCCATGGTGACAGACACCAAGCCCTTGCTGCGCAGCCTCAGAGGCCGGGTGGCCAGGCCTGCGCGCCGGACAAGCTGACACGACGCATCCGCTGCTCAAGCCCTCTGGTGTGTGTGAGGGCAGGGCTGGGACTGGAACTCTCAGCTCCTGCCTTTCTCTCTATCCAGACCCCCGGTGGGGGGTGGATGCGGTGACAGCAGTGGACGCTGGCCCCTGGGAGGGGTCCCCGAGTGTGTGGGAGGGGACACAGTGTCCGTCCATGCTGGGCACCTCCGCTCCAGATGGCCGCTGGCTGGCCAGCAGAGCCTCCGTGTGGACAAAGGGCAGCCACAGCGTGAGGGCAGCCAGCAAGGCACGCGCGCGCGCCGCCCTTTGTCACCGAGGAAGGCGGCCAGGAGGGTGGGCTGTGGGAACTACTGGCTGTGGTGGCCTCGACCGACCGTCTGGCAGGTGCTTTGTGGGGGGTAGAAGCAAGCTCTCAGACCCCTCTGCCCGAGAACCTCTCTTAGGCTAGTGATGAGCCCACCAGTTCCCACGCCCTCCCCTCCGTGAGGAGCAGGCTGAG